AGATCAAGATGGACACTTTCCTCCTGTGCAAGGAGGGGGCAGCTGACACCCCAGCCGCCGTGTTTAAGATCAGCGCTTCAGGCTCCACTCCCAGGCACAATCCTCCGTGGGGGCTGTGAGCTCAGCCCCTGCTGGGCGGGGGCACCTACAGGGACGGATTCTGTCCCTCCCACTTCTCCTGGGAGGCTGGCTCTCTGGGAAGGCCTTTCCCTCCAGCCCTGGGCTCCCCATCTGAACAGGGGAGCTGCCTGACCTGAGCACCGATCCTGGTTCCTGGCCTCTGGGCTCCTGGGCAGCGGGTCCTGGAGCAGGTCCTGGGCAGCCCTCTCTGGGCCTGCACCGCTTCTCTCAGTGACTGTGTCTGTGAGGATGGAAGCACCAAGGTGGGGAGCAGGGCCGTCCTCAGCTGCCCAGGGCTCGGCTTGGAAAGCAGAGACACAGCATTTTGGAAACAACAAAGATTTATCAAACTCTCCTGGTTGAGAACCTCCCCTCCGTGGGTCACACAAAATCACTCAGATTTTACTCTGAGCCACCGCTACACACAGCTCTGCATGACCCCTCGCCTCCAGCAGGTGGGCAGGGACCTCCGGGAAACAGGGCCCGTGGTGGGGCCAGCAGCCAGCGGGGGGTCCCCTGAGCAGCTCTTATTTCTCATTTCTGAGCCCGCAAGATGCAGCCCTCACCCCACCTGCAGGGTCCCTGGGCCCTCTCAGGTCACCGCGGAGGCTGCTCAGGCCACAGTGGGGTGTGGTGGGGGTGAGGCTGGAGCCCCCACAGGACACGGTGTCCCAGGCAGGGAGACCACTGGGCTCCTCAGGGATCACCTGGTGGCCTCAGGGCACACCTGAGACTAAGGAGGGCCCTGCTCCCTGGAGCCACTCCAACGTCACCCTCTGCAGCAGAACTCTCTCCACTCTGTTTTCTCTCCCTTTCTAAAACTTTTGAAGCTGAAAATTTAGCTTGAGATATTTGGATTTATAGCTTAAAAATAAAGAAATTCTACTCCAATTTCCCTGGGTCTAGATTATATTCCTGCATTAATTGTGGGGAATACCTTCTTCCCACGACCAAGTCCTCTTTCCCAAGACACTTGGCATAGACGTTTATGAAGGAACATGAGAAATATTGTGAAGTTGAAATGGGGTCCATTCATGGGTGATTTTCAGAATTGTTTGACTATCTTAGGAATTTATAAGGTCAGTCCTTATTTTCTAAATAGTAATTAAGTATAGGAGGCTGTTAGCTTGGTATATTAATTTTATTTCATATTAACTTAGGATTCTCTCCCGTTCGATGGTTTTTAAATCTCTTGTGATTAACTGATGAAATTTATGTCAAACAAAATCAGATCTAAATTTCACTTCTTGACTTCCTAATTGCACACCAATTTCTCTTGCTTCGATATATGTGTATATGTGTGTGTGTGTGTGTGGTTACACATATCTACAATTATATAAATATCTAAATATTTATCCCTAATTATATAATTCAATTATCTGATTATTACTGTATAAGAATATACATATTATATCCACATTCTTAATGTCATTCAGCTGGTGGGGTTTTACGTGTTGTTATGGTTACTAGGCTGCATAGATTTATATTTCTACAAAGTCGATGATTATGGGAGCCACTGGTAGGACCCCACTGGAGCACTGCACCTCTTACCTGGTGTGTGAGGCACTGGTGCGGGGGTCTCTGGCTACACAATGATTAGCTAATGAGACTGAACTGACGAGGACACCCAAGGGGAACTGGCTAGAGAGGTGCAGGGGGTGGCCAGAACTGTCACCTTTCTGCTCCTGACCATCAGGCACCCCACACCACCCCTCACCCCAGCCCTGGGTACTCAGTTGAGGAATTACTGAACCTCCTCTCCAGGGGTCATAGCTCCATGGTCCAAGGTCCAGACCCCACAGAGCACACAGGGCAGGGGAACCCTGAACCAGGGACCAGTCTCCCCACCAACCCTGAGATCTCGGCTCAGCTGAACTTGGCTCCAAGGTGACTCAGACACAGTCCTGACCTCCCAGAGCACAGAGAGGGTGAAGGACCAGGGAGAGGAGCAGAGGGGACCCTGAGGACCAGGAAGGGCTCAGAGGGGCTCCAGAGAGTCCTGTGGTGAGAATGAGGCGAGGAGGAGGGTCCCAGGCAGGACGGGGCTCCTCAGGTCACAGGTCCCCTCCTCTACTTGGTTCTAGGAGCCACTGAGACCATCAGCCCAGCGCAGAACAGCTCAGACCCCAGCTCAGGGGAGTCGGGAGGATTCTCAGCTATGGGACTGGACTCTGAGGGTCACGTCCTGGCCAGGGGAGGCGGCTGCCCTGGGTGGACATGTGGGGATCCTGGGGTGATTTGGTCCTGCTGACCTCTGACCTCTGTGTCCAATTCCCAGCCTCACCTCCCCAGGACTACACAGTGCAGAACCTCATCCGGATGGGCCTGGCTGGCCTGGTCCTGCTGGTCCTCGGGATCCTGCTGTTTCAGGCTCAGGACAGCCAGAGAGGGACCCGAGATGCAGCCAGGAGGTGAACAGGAGAGAACAGGGCACACTCAGAGGGCAGAGCTGGGAGTCGAAGGACCCTCAGGAGTCTGAAGGCCACCTGGACAGGTGGGGCTGCACCTGAGACTCTCCTGGCAGCAGAGGTGACTGGGTGCAGGACCAGCTGGGTGCTGGCTGAGAGCCTTCCCACCATGCTGTGCGCACCCAGGGCTGGCCCACCGCTCTCTGTAGCCCTCCACGCGCCAGTCCCCACGGGGAGATGTGAAGATGCCCCTGAAACACGGGACATGCAAGCCACAGGCTGGTGTCTGAGGGACTGTGTAAGGGGCGCTGGTCCTGTGGACATGACCGTGAAAAAGTCTCATTAAAACCCTGAGAGTTCTGCTGTGTGTTTGCCCTTACTGTCCACGTCCCTTCCTCCCACCCTCCACGTGCTGAGGCACCACCACGTCACCAGGTCGTGGTGTAAATCCAAATTCCTCTGCTCACTGCTGGAGTGTGGAGAAGCATCGACCCCCAACGTCACCTAGAGTCACCTCCTGACATGGCTCCCTGGGTCCTGCAGGGTTTCTGTCTTCATGGAATCACTAGGTCGTGCGCTGCCCATCAGACATTGTGAACAGAGCTGTTTCAATGAAGGGACTTGAGAGTCCACTGGTAGTTCAGAGACTATCAATGAAGGTAAGGCACCCTCCAGGCCTTCCCTTCACTGGTAGTCCAAGTGGTTGATGGCGTGCACTTTCCTGCCCCAGGACCTTGGCTTAGCATTTCAAGGCAGGTGGGCTGCAGGCAGAGCCCCTCAGCGTGGGCATGAGCAGCCGCTCTCTCCCTCCACCTTGAGGGGAACCCCCAGGGCACAGCGTGGGGCGGGTGCTCTTTGCTCTCCTCCCTTCTCTGTCCCGGGCCTGGTCCTGCCCACCTGGTCTCTGCGTGGCCCTGCAGACCTGTGTCCGTCCCTCTGCAGGTGGGCTGGTGGCCATCGTCACCCTGGATTCCTGCACCTGGGCTCAGGTGCTCAGTGGCTCTGCTGCCTGGGTCCTGGGCGGCGTCTCTGAGGTCCTGGATCTGGGGTCTGTGTGATGGTAACTGGGGACTCCCTGTCATTGTCCTCCCACTGGGTCTCTGTGTCCTCCTTTCTCCTCCTGGTGCTCCAGGGGGCAGAGGTGACCCCTGTGTCCCTCGCTCCTGGAGGCTCTGACCTTGCAGTCTTGGTTCTTTTCCAGTCTTGAGGTTTCCGCTGCTGCAACCTCCAGCTGAGAGCTGTCCTCGTGGTGCCCCCCGAGCACCCCTGAGGCCCTCCCCGAGTCCTGCCAGCCCTTCTGGCCTCTGGTGGCCCTCTAAGTCTCTTCCTGGGACGCCCGTCTGTTCTCAGAGCTGCTCACTGTCAGCCAGAGCCCCGGGCATCTCTGTGACTGTTTTAGATTCCTGTTCTCTCCACTCCCGCCTCCCTGCCTGTGGGCTCCCAGGGTGGCCCTGTATTTCCAGCTGTGTTCTCCCCCTGGGGACACCTGGGGTCCACTTCCTGACCGCTAGATCTGTGCTGGATAGGGTCAGCCCTAACAGACCCTGGAGAGGTGGGAGAGGTGCTGCAGCCCTCAGGGTCCTGACCACCCTTCAGCCCCCAGGTGCCCCTGGCCAGGGCTTCACCCTTATTTGTTGCAGAGAGTTAAGACGCCAGGGGAGCGTGGCCTGAGGACTCTGCAGCAGGGGCTGTCAGTAACACTGGACATGTGCATTCTTCTGAGGAAGCCCAGGTCCCTGCTGTGGCCCTGGCCCTGCCCGCCTCCTGCAGGCCTTGGGCTCCTCCTGTCCTGCTATTGCAGAAGACAAGCTGGTGGCCCTGGGTTCCTCCTGCAGTCCCCAGGGTGCACCTGGAGCCATCTCCTCCGGCCCAGTCCCTCGGCATCATCCCCTGGGGTGGCAGTTCCCGTACATGGGCTTTTCAGGAAAGCTAAGGTGTGCGGCTGGGCACGTGTCCAGCAGTGCACGGTCACCTTTGTCTCTCCGTGAGCAGGTGGTCCTGGACAGGGAGCTTCGCAGTGCTTCTCAGGGTTTCTGTCCCACATAGGGGAGACCCGAGGGCTGCAGGGGGCAGGAGCTGGCCCGTCCTGTCCAGGTCAGCCAGGCTCTGGCAAAGCCCCAGCAGACGGGCTGTGCAGCTCCCTCTCCTGCAGAGCTGGGACAAGGGCAGAGCGCCCAGCATTGTGTCTTCAGTGGACACAGCAATCGTCCACCTGGACCCTGGGGCCAAAGCCAGGATCCTCTCAGGTCCCAGCCTCCCTCCCCTCCTCCTAAGGAGGTTTGCAGGTTAACCAGGACGGAGCCCCTCCCATGCTCCCTGCACCCCCGACCCAAATCGTCTGTGGAGAGGGTCGATGAGAACCTCCTCAGGACGAGGAAACTGAGGGTCAGAAAAGTGGTATCAATGTTCACGGGTACATAGGCAAGGACAAGCAGGAATTCTTTTTTCTGGTACCAAGAATTGAACCCAGGAGCCCCCTCCCACTATCCCCAGTCCTTTTATTTTTTTAGTTTGAGACAGGGTTTGCTAAGTTGCTTAGGTCCTCCCTAAATTGCTGAGACTAGCCTCAAACTTGTCATCCTCCTGCCTCAGTCTCCAGAGTTTCTGGGATTGCAGGGTAACCAGGAACTTTTAAAGATCAGCTTCTGCCTTGCACACCCAGAGCTCAACCCTCAGTGTTGTGTCCCACACGTGACCCAGCCATGGGTGGAGGTAGCAATGGGGCCCAAGGCAGGACAATTGGGTTGTTTCTTAGAACGGGGGAGGGGAGCGCTGGATGAAAAACAGGGAAGTGGAT